TGTTACAGGGAAATGGAAAACCAAACCAGTCAAAAGTCTGGAGACTTCAAAGTGTCAGCATACAGATCCAGCCTAGGTAATGCCACAGGAAAAAAACATTTTATCCATGTCACCAAAAACACCTAAAGAGGTCCTAGATACAAAACACACTGCTCTTGGGGGGTTCTCACAAGGAACAAGGCAGCACCAGCTCCAAAGGCAGGTATCTAGTTAACATGATGACAGCTTTGATGGGTGATGAAGCTTATTAAAATATCTTAAAAGGAGGTGAGTTCCAATATGTTAGGTTGAAACTGGAAACAGATTTTCAGAATGGTTTCTCAGGTTGATTTTGTGGATCACTGAATGGGGCATGCAGGAAAGATCTTTAGTGACCTTTCTCTGGAAAGAGAAATGAGTGGGAGACCACACTTTCACTGCATTTGAAATTAGAAGGACAAATTCTGTTCTGCTTTCTGTGCTTTGATAATACAACAGTACGATTAAATCAGTAAAAATTTACTCAAAGCAGCCATTATGGAAACTTGGTAATAACACCTTAGATTTTTTTTCCCCTTGAGTGCTTTGCTAATAGGTCTAAAGTGCCAGTGGACAAGAAAGCAATATTGAAAAGTAGAATGCAAAAATAGTTCGCAATAATTTTGGCCTTAAACCACTTTCTGAAAAAAAGTAAATATGTATAGAAGAGAAACTGTGTCACAAACTTTAAATGAGCAAAACCCAACAAAAAGGCCAGATTATTATTCAACGTTTTAAAGCAGCCAAAAGGACTTTCAGAGGAAATAGAAACCCTTTTTGCTGGATGCTACCAAGGCCCACAATCTTTTCTGACCATCTCCCAGAAGCCCAAGCTAATCTCACCTTGGCGTTGAATTTGGCAACAAAATCAAAGTGTTTCTTCAGGTCAGTAGCCAGAATCGCCTCAATGACGAGGAAGCGGAAATGCTTGAACTCCACGTGGTCCAGGTTGACCAGGAAGTTGTACTCTGGCCTGGACATGAAGAGGTTCCAGGCAGCAGCAGCGTGGTGGTTCTCCAGCACGGAGCGGTCGTTGTACAGCACCGCCTGTGGAAGCAATGCGGGCAGGGGGAGCTGAGGAACATCTCTGCAAGATCACAGCAATGGATTATTCTGTCCCAGGCCGCAGGTTAATGGCTAATATAACATGGGTGTGTGCTTCCCTCATTCCCAGAATGAGCCTCACCTAATGGGTTGCTGTCTTTGGTAATTGCACCGGGCAGTTGTGTCCGTGTAGGACTGGTTCCAAACACAGAAACAAGAGGAATTCCAGTTTGCAACCTGAAAACACATACTCAGCCTGACAGACATCTCAATGCTAAAATCCAAAGTTGGTGAAATCTTGACCAAAATAAGATGTGTCACTCTCATAGTGAGGGTAATTCCAGTCACAGAATAACAAGAAAATTATTTTTTCCTATTAATTTTCAAACTAGAAACATACATTAGCCATAAGAAGAGACTAATCATCTAACTTCCTTTTCTGATTTTTACAAGCACAGAACTATAGCTCTTGCTTCATTTAGATTAGATTAGATTAGATACAATTAGATTTAAACATAGTACATGTCTTCTCTCCCAATCTATTTACCTGGCCAGAGTATCAAAGCTGCTGGTCACAGAAATGCATTGCAAGGATGAGAAGCATTTCTATCAATTCATTGACACAAAGTGGTACCAGAGTGAGTTCAGGTGACTTGCTCTTGGTGACAGAGGAAGTTTGGTTGCAAGCTGGGGAGTAAATCTAGAATTTTTACATCCCTGTCTGACCTGCCACCATTAAGATGTATTTTCTTTATTTCCTCCTCCATAGAAGTATTTTTCAGCACAGTGTGCTGAAACCAGGCAGGTCAGCTATGTAAAGTAAGGAAAGATGATTTCATAATTAAGCCAATAAAGAGTGACTCAGAATTGCTGAATTCAACTCTCAGGACTGGCAGCAACTTCTGTGTAACCTTAGGCAAGCCTCAATTCTACATTTATAACACTGAGATTGTTTTCCACTCCCTGCCTCCAAATACTTTCATAAAAAGACTGCAACTGCTCATATTCTATAGAAACAACAGAAAATGTGTTATGATCATGCACAATTAACTTGCAAAGCACAGTCAACTACACAACTGGAATTTTATATTTAATCTTTCTGTGCATTACTTGGTAGAATAATTCTTCCATTCACCCACAGTCACAGATTTTTTATCAGTCAGCAGTGCTTTACCTTCTTCACTGACACAGTTTATTGGTACCTTTCTTAACAGCTCTGCTAACTGAGGGTGTGTAAGAAGACTCTTACCAGCAATCCCCAAGTGAAGTGATTATTTCTGTCACTTTGACAAGCTGTTTCAAAATATTTGGCAGGCTTGTGCTTAATGGAAGCCACAGGCACCACTAGCAAGGAAAAGCTGTCATCAAGACCTCCCAAACTGTACAGCAACACTGCCTGAGATTTATTTACCTGTGGAGCACTCGTTGCTACCAAGAAGGCATTGGTCCTTCCTGGGTGATCATAATCATGCATGGCTGCAGCCACATAAAGAGCCATCAGCTCCAGGGCAGGGATGTTGCCAGCCAGACATCCGTAGCTGTCGTCTGTAGGTGTGTATGTCTTCGAAAACAC